GTGTTTTTCTTCCTTTTTTCACTGCTTCCACCAGTTTGTGTTGGGATGACATTCACCTCATCAGAATCACCACTTCCTTCTTCCAAATCAACAGCATCTTCAAACCCCACATTCTGTTGTACTGGAGGAATAGGCCCAACAGCTGGAGTCCATGAAGTTTCACCGGTGACTACTATTTTGTCAAACATTTGCTGCAACTCCATTGTGTTTTCTAATCCATGATGCTCAAATTTACCATATTCTTTGTTCTCCTATAATAAATATATAACATATTAGAAGTTTAAAGTTAAAATTAATAAAGTCACATGCAAAAAACTAAAAATCATTAACAATAAAAGACTACAACTAACCGCTTTCAATTCAGCCAATCGTTGAGGAGTAGCATCAATTGTGCCTTTTTCATGATTCCACCCCAGTCCTGTTTCTCACTTTAAGAGTTGATTCCACAAAACCCAATCACTTTTTAATGCATCCCACCGATTTCTTAGTTGTTTATAAAGATAATGCTTGTTTGTTCTTTCATTAAATTTTTTCTCCACATTTGTCCACCCTAATCTATTAAAAGTACTATTATGACGATTATCGGCAATGACCTCTTCCACACATATCTCATAGAAAATTTTTGTTGTAAATGCATCCCACACTGCATTTGACCTTTTTTCAGCCATCTTATATATTGAAATAATTTTGGCCTTAAAACAAGATCTACAAACACATAGAAACAAATGTTGAATAATGGAAGTATAGATACACATAATAACACCAAAAACAGAGCTAAAACTAGGACCCCTCATCTCCCACCACAGTCACAAAACAAGGTATATCTATTGGAAAAGGAGGCAATGTGTAGAGGGAGAAAGGAGATTATGCAAAGATAGTAAAATCATTGGAAAATAAAAATTTTAATTTAACAATAAATTTTTAAATATATTAATTAGTATCTAGTTCTTTAAACACGTCAAAAAAAAAAAATTTAGAAGACAATATTCCCAACACTAACCTCTTAATTATTTTTATGAAATGAAAACTATATATATTAAACTCCAAATTCTTTTATAAAAGAAAAAAATACATCATCCGTAGTTTAGCGAGCTGGAAAAATCTATGATCAAAACAACAAAGAAAGCAGGCAAACCTCCATACTCCTTGTGCAGGGTAATTAATTCGGTGCAAAAATAACTGAAATTGGTTAAAGACATCTTATCAACAATACA